TGAATCTAGAAATTCGATGTGACATCAGTGAGAATAGCCAATGTGCAAGTCAAAATAACTCTTGTTTTGCCTTCAGAAAAGACAAATATCTATATCGGTCGTGAGAGGGAAAAATAATCATGCATCACAGAACAAGATACACGATTGAATACTTTCGTCGAAGGGCCAATATATGCACACATGAATCTGTTATAGCAATCGTCAAAGATGGAGATTCATTATTGAAGGCAATAATGATTTACTTATATTAAAAAAAAAGCGCTGAAGTCTCTTCTATCATGGAAAAAAACAGTTAGTCCCATAGAGTAGGATAGAGATAGCCTAAGATAGTTAGAAAATTCAGAAGTAATAAATTGATCGTTATATATATATATATATACTTGTTTTTCTGTTGAATTAAATTGAATATATTGCTGAATAATTTATTTTGTGATAGAGACGTTGAACGATTGGTTCAATTTTAATAATTCATAAATATTAATTTTTTGATATAGAGTATATATTTTTGTTGTATGTCTTTTTTGATGATGAAGACATTGAATGATTGATCAGATTTCAATAATTAGTAAAACAGCTTACTTTTTATTCAATTGACACGATCAAGGTTCGGAAAAAAATGTTTTTTTTTAAGCAGTTATTTAATCGTAATCTATTATTGTGCTACAAAATAATAACTATTTGTTATATGTATGATGAAACATATTTACTGAATAGTATTCCATTTGCTAAGTGTTTTTTTAATATCAAGTTTATTAGTGTAAGATTGTACCTCGATAAAAAAAGAAAAGCTGTTAGTACAATTCCTCCGGGATTAAAATGTAAAACACAATGGAGCTGTTGTTATTGTACAACGAGAGGGAAGAGTTAATCAACATATGTTTTGGTATTATGAATTCGTATTTATTGTTAATACATTTCGCTGATGAAAGATATTAATTTCAATATAGTGTAGTAAGTGTGAAAGAAAAGTAACAGATAAATATTGTACTAATCTTAGAGTAGGTTTTGATCTCGCTATTATGATTGTCACGGTCTTTAACGGTAGAAATGCGTTGCTAAAGTACCTGGAATGTCTGCGTGAGAGAGGAAAGGAGTCAAAATTCCAAACTTCTATACTTTTAACGGTCTATTATATATTCTGATGAGGTCAGATGATTGTTGTCGAAAATTAGAATGTAATCAGTTTATGCTATTATGTTAGTCACATGATAGTTGTGGAAAATCACAACATCATACTTTATATCTATCATATAATCGTTGATCTGTGAAAAAATCAGAAATTATGTTATTTACAATACTGAAAAACATATTCCAATCATTTAAATTTCAAGGAAGATTCTAACATGTTCTAAAACCATTTAAGCCTTGTTATTGATATCGTTTAGAAAAACTTCCATGTACACAATAAGAGTCTCTTATTATGCCTTCATTGTTAAACATACAAGAAAATAAATAATTAAAACACTTATTCTTTATATTTTTCGTTTTTAGATTTAATATCACATTTTTTTTCTGTAAACTCTTGTACAAGTGACTTACATAGAATATTGGTGATAATAATTTTATTGACGGAAGTTTTTTCAATTTTTGTCCGTAATCTAACTCTTACATTTTGGAAATCGAATTCTAATGTAGCGCCTTATTATTAAAAAGTACTTTAACGAATTTATTCGATTTCAGTAATAAATGCTTGAACCGAGCGTCAATTTAATGTTGTAAGACTTACATTGACTGACAGAAAAGTTTGTTTAGATTTAAAACAATTGTATAATAGGTTTTATGTTTGTACTATTGCGAAAATTGATTGTCAAATGTAAATATTTTTCTGTTATTATAAGTACCATTTATTTCCTATATTTTACGTTGTACATTGTCTTTTATCTCTTAGTTGTATGCTTAATTATACATTGTTTTTAGTATCTTGATTACATTTTTTTAAATTGTACAAATTAGCACTAATATTTCGGTAATTCAAGTCTTTCTTGTATGAAAAGTATTCATGATAATAGTCTTTTTGCTATGATTTGATATTTCATGCAAGAAATTTCTATTATCTTATCTTTATCGATATAATTAAACGTATTCAAAAACCAAAAATATGAATCAGCTTAATTTGATCTGCAGGCATGCTGAGTCAGATAATATCAGAAAAAAGATGACCCTTTGACAGCTCTGCTGTACATAGGATGACGCTATAGTATGACCATATAAACTACATTTTAATTTATGCTATCGAAGATGATATCTATTCTTAGAATTTTTAAATATGAAAAAGTACAAGTTTAACTCTTACAAATAGATGTACGATAGTATTAAAAACATGTCAACAAATCACCTTTTACATTGACTAAAGTTTTGCAATTTGGATTTGAATTCGTATTTATATTTGATTAAATCTATACAAATAATTTTTCCAAGAATAGAACAAAATTGTTCTGTTTTCGCCAATTTTTGTCCCAAAACTGTGGTATCTAGTCTTACCATAATTCAAAATTATATAATATCAAATAACAAGGCTTCAGGTTTTTTGAACTTTAAGCATAGGGCTGCTTACTGTGTCTAAACACATGATATACATCTGTAAATGACAATGTATTTCTAGATAAACAGATCTAGAGTATCATGATTTATTCTTATTACAAGTAAATTTAATTTCCTCGTGACAACAGATGATCTACAATGAAGTCTCTCTATGTGAGCACCTCCTTATTCCCAATAGTGGGCACTCATTACTGATCCAATGAGCAATAATAACTATTTAGCATACGTTCAATCATTCACGTCCTGAATAAAGAAAAATATGATGTTATGTGTATTTCATTGCAATAAACAATCATGAGACACATAGAAAAAGGGGATGGATTAACTATGCACATTTAGACGAGAAAAAAACAATATTAGACAACAGCAATAGTACTTGGTGTAATATCTAGTTGTTTTCATATGAATAGCTAGTTACATCACATTACATGAAAAGGTTTTGATTTACCGTTGATTAAAAAGATTTAATTCATTGAAAAGAAGAAAAAATTCACCTTGCTCAGCGAAAAATCAATTGCAACTGAACATTTATCACTTGAAATATAGAAGTTGAAAAGCTCTATAAGTCGAACACTTGTGACCGACTCCGATGATACTCACATTAGAAGTTAACTACAAGAAATATGTTTTGTTTTATTATTATAAATAGATTCATGTTAGAAAAGTGAGATTAATAGTTTCTTTTTTTTTAACGTCATAAAACTTATGATTAAGTATTGTTAGTGTTAGAGTTGGATTGGATTGTGAAAATTTTTTTTTTAATTTTAAAGTGAGCCTGCAATGTAAACATTTTGCAGATACAAAAGACATTTTGACTGTTTTTCTTTTACATTTAAAAGTTCTATAAGAGATTGTGAAAAAGTTTAGTAGAACCAGCAGTTATATATCACACGATCTTTTCTTCTGGGTCACCATCTCTTTTTTATTGACATTCAACAACAATATATCGAGAGTGCACCATCTGTTCAATGGTGACATAAGCATCGTAGGTCATATAGATCAGACAGAAAAATAAACAAAAAAACAAGTCTATCACATAATCGTGTTGTCTAAATTTCGGAATATATAAACGAAGAAAATAAATTAAGGATATATCGTTTGTTTTTAACTACGGATTGATAGAAAGAAAACAAGATTCAGAAATTGATTTTCTTAATTAAAAAAAAGCAAGCAATACCAATGTTTGATTCGGGTCATAAAAAATTTGACCCATGTCAAGCACTGATTATTGTATCATAAAATTATTTCTGACTTCATTTTATATAATGAGAATATATTTATTGTGTATGCTTGAATTATGTATTTGTCTTCATATGCATTTATCCGTCTTTCTATAATTGAAAAAAAAATATTCTAAATGACAGAGAGCAATTTCTAATATGATATTTTCAAAAATTAAAAAATTTGTATCTAAATTATGTAATATATAGATAGTTAGAAAATTGAGTGCCAAGTTAATCAGGTCATGTTAACAACAAAAGTAATTGAATATATACTTTTTATTGCATGTGTCAAGTGATTTTGGAAACATGCAATGAATGTGATAGGTAATTGAAAATGCGATCACTCATACGCTTATTTATATATATTACTTTGAACCAATAATATATATATAAAAGAGTATAAAATAAGTTTTGATCTTCTCATGTCATATTGTTTTCTCAGACGTTACTGTATTGTTCGAAGCTGATATTCACAGTGTAATCTTAAAGTCATAATAATTTTTGAATTTCTTTTTTGGTTTTTTATTAGTAATATTACATAAAAGGTACTGCTTGAAAGAAAACTTAAAAATCAAATTTCTTTTAAATAAATAATAAAAAAAACATCATTCATTAAATTTCATATATGTGTTCTTCACCATTTGGATCTATCATTTACTCGCGTTTCACTACTGTAAATATCCTTCATTTTTGTATTATTTGATTTTTTAATTCTAATTCGTTGTTGCTGTAGTTTACGGTCACCAGAGATTGTATGATATTTTCCCATTCATAATGACGTGAAAAAATTACAGAACGGAAGAATTATAGGCTGAAAAGTAATCGTTACTCATAGTGAATGGTTGATCGAATGTCTATAATTTTTTTCATCCATGATGTCTTGAAAACTAAGCCAGAAGCTTTTTTATGATTTTGACATTAGTTGTATCTCTGTAGCAATATTAACCAAAAAGCTAAAATTCTAGTATAGAGTAGATCTAAACATGTAATATGAATACTGTGAATATCAACTTAGAACAATACAGAAACATGTTAGAAAACAATATTATATGCGAAAATCAAAACTTATTTTCCATTCTTTATATACTGAAGTAAGAGAAGAAAAATGTAAATTACATCAATGTAGATTGTTCATTTGTGTAGATAAGATTATATTTCTATTGAAAATTGAACGATAAAAACAAAATAAAGAAAAAGATTTTTATTTTTCATTTTCATATTTATAGATAATTCAATATGCAAGAATTATTTCGATATTTATTTTTGATTATTTTTGCATTATTCGTTCTATCTTTTCGTAAGTATACAACAATGTTAATATATAGAAATAGTATGTTTATTATAGATCATATTGAATGTCGAAGTGCATTACCACAAAATATAGATCGTTTAAAAAGTTCATTAAAACATATTGATTATCAAAATCTTTGCATGTTTCGAAAAAATCGTCTATGCAATTGTAAGATTTGTTTAAATATACTATTTTTACAACAAATTTTTATTTTAGTTCTACATGAAATGAATAATGCTACATCTGATGAAACAAAGTAAATAAAAGAAAGAAATTTCAATAAATTATCAAATTTATTTATTATATAGACAAGATCAAGAACTGTGGAAACGTGGTCTTAGTCAATTCTACAGTAATTGGTAGAACATTTTCTCATCATGTATTTATTAATGATTTGTATTGAATGATATGAAATAAAATCAAAGATAATTGAGAAAGAAAAATACAAATCAAAATAGAAAAATATTTATTCATTATTTGACTCAATAAGATATATCAAATGATGATACTCATGTTTTTGAATAATTTAAAAACTCTTTCGTTTTTTATTTTTGAGATGCAGAAAATTTTAAGTTATGATCTTCCAATTGTAATAGAAGTCCACTCTATTCGAACGAGTACAAAATATCGATGTCAATCATCGAGTAGATTAGCTCATCATTTTTTTTGCATGTTTAGTTGCAATGTCTTTCGTGTATCTAATTTCATTTGTTTTACATATTTTCTATTAAAGAAAAAATGAGTTTCTTTCGGGAACTGAAAAATTTATACATCTGAACATCAATGAAGCACAGCTGTTCAGGAACTGGTAAATAAGAAATAGACATGTTTTAGTATGCATTTATTGAGCACTTCCTGTGAAGGAATTATACACACGGATTGGAAATGAAACAATGCGAATTTGTATTCAGTTGACAGAAATGTAAACCAATCTTTAACTAGAAATGAGACATCTCACAAATCTGAAAGATGGTCGGTTGAAATTATGTTAGAGTTGATTGAGGTCTAAAAATAAGTACCAGTATGAGATGAGTACGATATCGATAATTGAAACACGCATAAGAGTTGAAGAACCTATTTCATAAAAATGAAAAGTCTTTATTTTAGTAGTAAAAGGTTTACTTTATACTTCTTTCAAAATAATTGAAACAATGTTTTATGCACCATGGGGATTGACAAGGCGCCATCCTTCCAACGATCGAGTCGATCCTCTCGAAGTTTGTAACTGTTTATCACGTACAATGTGTTTGTATTAGAGCGTTCGATTAGAGAGGGATTTATGAAAGCTTTCACATCCTAAAACTTTCAAACTTTTCGCGAAATTTTCTATAGCTTCGTAAGAAATTCAAACAGATAGAGAATTTTATCGATTTCGGTTCTAATTCTGATTGATATTCATACGGAGACACTTTCTTGCAGACAAAATATCATCAAAAGTCGATGATGTTAGTATCATCAATTCGAACTCTGTCAGAAAATCGAAAAAAAAAGATATTTTCTTCCTCAGAAACAATCGGAAATCCTGATTTATACTTCTAAAAATAAACGTTCGTATTCCTGAAGTTTTACATCACTCGTATTGAAGAGAAAATCTAAATAGAACAATAAATTGAACTATTTCTCCGTCGATTTCTAAGCTGTAATAATCTCCTGACATGATGTCTCCTGACAGGGTTGTATCGTACATGTTTCATAGAAAAGTTTTCTCAATTTCTTCAAACTTCGATAGTTTACCAAACTACAGCATCACGATAAGTGCAGTTTAATGTATCCGTATTGAAATTCATGAAATACTAATAACAGATGAAAGTGTGAATAAGAAAAGTATTATTATCAACGCATCACTCAAGTTATCTGATAACATGAAACTGGAAAAGTTTAGAAACTAATGTGTGGTTCGTCGGTAATTTTCATAGCTCGTGTTAAAGTTCT